GAGTGTAGTGTCTACCAACCCTCCAGGATATACACAGAGTATACTGCCTGTCAACTCTCCAGGATATACACAGAGTATACTGTCTGTCAACTCTCCAGGATATACACAGAGTATACTGTCTATCAACTCTCCAGCATATACACAGAGTATACTGTCTGTCAACCCTCCAGGATATACACAGAGTATACTGTCTACCAACCCTCCAGGATATACACAGAGTACACTGTCTACCAACCTCCAGGATATACACAGAGTATACTGTCTGTCAACTCTCCAGGATATACACAGAGTATACTGTCTGTCAACTCTCCAGGATATACACAGAGTATACTGTCTGTCAACTCTCCAGGATATACACAGAGTGTATTGTTAAATTTTTTTCTCCTTTGTCATTTTTCTTTCAGACATAGGGGCAATTTACTTTGTTTGCATTGAACACGACTTCTTACCAACATGGCTCCTCTGATGTTTTTTGGACCTATGTACTGACACATCAGTTTGAGTATCTTAGCAACATGTTAGAACCTTTACCAAACATTCCTTAACAGGGGTTGATTTCCAAAAGAAAGCTGACATGAATTAAAATAAATACATCCTAAATCAATTGTGTATTATGCACTTTATTCTACAGAATCTTTACAGATCAGTAATGTCTAACTCAATATAGAAATAACTTTTCTACTAAGTAGTGTGTCTAATACTACATGATTAAATAATATAATAATCAACATGTTTACACTCACCCGATAAGCCTTCTAACTCAGAGTTAAGTTGTTGAAACTCCTCTTTTGGTTCATTTTTCAAACTAATAACATCATGTTGTGAACAATCAACAGTTTCATCATCACTCTTATTGAACTTAGAAATAATATCATCATTTGTTGAATCACCACTTTGTTCAGTTTTGACTTTGACAAATGTGTTCTAGAACAAAAAAAGGACAGATATAAGAAGCCAATAACAAACACCTAGTATAAATACATATATATAACAATTAAACCTCTCCAGTTAATTAACTGTAAAACATGAAAAGCTCAAACTGATATTTCTAGATCAGATTAACATTGCTCCAGCTGGGATTGAAAAGGAGCAGGGTGATAATTGAAAATGAGGATATATCCAATATGTGAAGCCATCTCAAAAAGAGTTTATAAATAGGAACACAAATTCAAAGCTGAGATTAAAAAACAAAACAAAAATTGATATCATGCCCAATATCAAGAACAAAATGACTGCCACAACACCTAATACTTTGATAAAAAAGCAGCTTTTGAGCACAATAATTAATTAGATAAAATCAAAAATTAAATTTATACACTGTTAAAATCAATACCCTAACCCTAACATATACACTGTTAAGATTATTACCCTAACCCTTACACATACAGTGTTAAAATCAATACCCTAGCCCTAACATATACACTGTTAAGATCAATACCCTAACTCTAACATATACACTGTTAAAATCAATACCCTAACCCTAACATATACACTGTTAAGATTATTACCCTAACCCTTACACATACAGTGTTAAAATCAATACCCTAGCCCTAACATATACACTGTTAAAATCAATACCCTAACCCTAACATATATATATACTGTTAAAATCAATACCCTAAACCTTACATATCCACTGTTAAAATCAATACCCTAACCCTAACATACATAAAATACCAAAGTTAGTTTGACACATTAAATATGCCATTATCAAGGATAAGACTAATACAAACATTGAATTGTTTGTGGAAACCTTTTATGTGGTCTTTCTCTTTATTAAATGTACTTTAAATATTTCCAACAATGTAAATTGGTCTAATTTAATTATTTTTCAATAATAATCTTATGTTGTTTGAAATCCCCAGAAGTAAGGTAACAGTAGTTTGTTTCTTTTTCATTTTCCTCCCTCTATTGGTTACCATTTTCAACTTAAAATACAAACTCTTGATTGAATGATCTTCAAATCCTCTAGATGTAACAATATTTTTCAAATAATTATTTTCATTTTGTATACCTTTTAGATTGAAGCAAATGTTCAACATATGCCAAATTAATGTTATATAAACATCAATCTACTGTATGTTAGCTGAATTTTATTCATCATTGTTTACATTCATTCAAACCTCATAATTAACCTAAAAGTATCCTTAATTTATACAAGTTTTTATATATTATGCACAGTGAGTTTTTAAATTTTTAAAGTAAACACAAATATTATATCAACTGAAAAGAAATAAAAATGTATCAACAATCTCCAAGTCAATTTGACAACAATATAAATCTTTGATTCTATGTATAATAAGGCAGATATATAATAATAATATTTTCACCTGTGTTGAACATAACTGTGTTAACAGAGATGAGAATAACTTGTGATTGGTCTTGGATTCTAGTTGAGGCCACAGGGGTCTAAGTGCTCTCTAACTCATTTTGGGGCACTAAATACTCACATTATTTACTGCCAGGATGGTCAGTAAACATTGGACTTTAACTGATACTTGAAAAGCTCTGTTAATGGACTGCATCTGTTTAAGAAGTTTAGATCATGTGTTGAGTTATTGTTACAGATCTTCATCAGGTGAAACTGTTCAGGTAAAAACATGGCTATTGTTGTGAGCTTTGCAAGTTGGAAAGTATTGTTATTATTATAGTTGATCTGGAGTTCAAGCTGTGTGGACACAGTGCTTATGGTCTTGTAATGCGAATCTCACAACAACAGCTGTGTGGACATGGTGCTTATGGTGTTGTAACGCGATTCTCACAACAACAACAGCTGTGTTCTGACCAAGTTAAACAATTTGATGTGAATTTTCTCTGTCTAAGCCTTTTCTAAGTACTTTAAATCATGTTTTAATGATCAAAATTACAGGCCAGTTAACATACAAACTGTATTTAGTATCTGTCCAAATATTTCAAGAAATGACCAAATTTATAACTGAAATGATTAGGCCAGTTAAGGACAAACTGGTCATTTCAAGGCCAGTTAAGGACAAACTGGTCATTTCATAAAATATAAAGACAATACTTTTACAAATCTATTTCTAATAGGGCAAATTATTGACCAGTTATTTACAAAACGAGTCTTTTTAAAAAAGCAGATATGAATACTTTTTTCATTCCCCTACATGTAAGCAGAATGACTGATTTCTGTTGTGTCTGAAAATCCCCGATTCTGGGATTTTGACCTCCACATATAATTTATGAGACTGAAAATAATTTTGGAAAATGTGACAATATGTTTCTAATATGATTTCATTTGTATATATATAAAGACCGTCCTTAGTTCAAATACAAAGTCTGCTCAAACAGTCTACACTAATATTAACAATTCTTTTATCTGTCTCTCCTAGTGTAGGGTCTCCAGTAGGGCTTCTCCTTAACGTGATCTCTCATCTTCATCTTCACATTGTGTTGTCTGTATTTTCTAATCTATCTGTATGCTGACACAGTAGTTTTTGTTCCTCTTCCTATCATTCAGTTTGACACTCAAGTTGACGTCCTTGTACGTCTCATCTCTATACTCAAGGATCTTAGGCTTAGTAAGTCCTTATCTTCTATAATGAAATCACCGTCTTCAAATTCTGCTT